GATTGATGGCTGGGTAGGAGAGGGATGAAAAAATGCTAAAAAAAAGCCCACTCAAGATATCTATTCAAACCTTTTTCAAGAGGTTTTAGGCAGAGGTTTTAACTTAGCAACTCAGCCTGAGGGCCTCTAATAATCTGTACTGCAACATGCGATTCCAGGATGCCACAATACAGACCCCACTCCAGACCTACCCTCTCAGATAATTAGGTCCCTTTGTCAATAAATGTATACTTGGCAAGCTGCATGCATGGTGCCATTCCTAGGTAGCAGATGCCCATACCCCTCAAGTCACCAAGATCAGCATGGGTTGATCTCTGAGGATGGCTACCCCAAAATGTTGAGGACATATATCTAAACATCTTTAGTATACCATGAGCAGGATGTAACATTTCAAGTTGTGTCAAAGATATTGAACTCAAATTATGTGTAAAACCACATTTCAAAACATAAAAAGCAATCATAAAATATATTCAAACCTTTCAATGCTGCATGGATATGTGAAGTTTGGCACCATATCAAGGATGCTGTCTTCTTGGAATGAGTCAGGGAACTTCTGGATGATCTGTGTTCTTTGATCACCATCATGTGATGTTGAAACTTCACAAAAACAGTCAAAGATGTGTTGCACCTTAACCCTGGAATGTATGTGCACATATAAGCAAGCTAAAGATGTGAAAACAAAAACAGCCCTGCTGTGAAAAAAGAGATACCAAGATTTTGTACTACTTAATTATAAATACCAAGTAACAGCTTAAGCCAAACACTTGTCACCTTAGTTGCCCTTGTTTTTATCATGCATGCTTTACCACAACACCTATCATGAGAACTTCTAACCATTGAACATGCCACCTCACACTGATCAGTTGTAAGCATATTTGTCACGCATGGAAAAATCAAAACAATGTCAGAAACTGTCTATTGGTATATGAGTCATTAATTCATAACACCATGACCAGGCAGAAAATTAGCTGCAGAACACATCATTATAGCTCCTCTTAAATGGGCAAGCATTTATCCATAAGAATTACAAGCTGTGTTAATCCCAATCTACAGGAGCTTAAATATGCACCAACTTACAGCATACTTCCCTATCTAGGTCTAAATACAATGTCTTATGTGAATGCACAACCTTTGAACAGGCCAACCAAGCAACACAGGCATAGCTATCATGGCACAAGTTTAAGGATGAAAGGTAAAAAGTTTCTTACCTGAGTAAGGACATGCTTTCGGACCAATTTCACAAATAAATACAAACTATTTGACAATGTATATCAAAATCAGTGTGTTTGATCAGCTCTTGGCTGCTCAATAGTCACAGCCTATGCATGCCTTGGCACCAATAAAATTTGTGATCCTAAGCGGCACGTTTGCTTAATCCCTCAATGCTTGGTCTAACAACAACTACGAAAGGTTGACAAAATGAAATCACCGATCTCAATTCTATGCTCTCCAGTCTCCGCCTCCAACGCAAAGGCAAGGTGAGTACGACAGCCAGATATGGGTCTATGACGACGATGAGTTCATTAGTAATCTCTGCAAATTCCTTCCATCCCATTGCCGACCGCCCACGCCGCCCCGAGCATTTCACGGCACCGAGCTGTACAACCCGCTTTCGGGCCTTGCTACATCCTCTCACAAAAATGTTTACTGTGATCAAGACAGCAATCTCGTTCTTGTGCAGTCTGCTCAAAACCAACTGTATTACCACTCAGAGAACACACAAACAAATTAACGTTGAGAGAGTCCATAATTTCTGCTCACAAAAGCGGCTTTTGGTTGACTTGATCAAAATAAACCGCTGCCCATTGTTGTTACATTTACGGCGATATTTAGACGTACAGGCGATTGGACCAGAGCAAGGCTGTCTAACGATCAGAGTGTATAGAAGTTGCCCCTCGTGCAAACTTGGTTGCTTGCCTACAATTGAGTGGTGTGTGGAGAGGCGGGGGTAACAGAACACTTGCACAAGTGAGTGTCGTAACCCTGCCAGCGATGGAAAAGGCCGAGAGGGAAGGTTGAAGCTGAGAAATGATAATTTCTCAAAGTGGTCATTGTAAACAAGAAGTCGTCAGGTTTTGTGCCCATAATTTACCAATATTAGGGCGCTTTGTACAATTTATCTGAGTATGGCTAAGCGAATGTGTAGTGCATTAATTACTGGTGGAGATAAATGCATTTTGGTGTGCTCAATAAAAGAGTCAAACAACATTAGTTTGGTCATTCCATGAAAAGTTTACCCACACATATTGTGTTTGCATTACAATATGAAAGCTCTTTTGACACTTGAGACCAGAGTTTTCGGGATTGTTGTATGATTTGATTTGTATGTTCCATTATGTTTATATTTTACTGAGTTCATGCCCAAATGTGGTTCATGTATGCACTTCTGATTTCACAATATCGTTAATTGGTTTGAAATATTAAAGCTCTGCTAGTGCTTGAAATCAGGGTTTTTTGCTCTGTGGGTTGATTTGATTTACATGTCCCACTTTATCTAATATTTTACTGAGTTCAATCCCAATTGGACAGTGAATGGTGCTTGTGATTTCACAATATCATTAATTTGCTTCTGATTTCACAATATCATTAATTTGCACCAAGTAACTTTTGTGTTTCTGTCAGCTGTTCATTGCAGGTGCTGTCTTAATACTGCAATGTGGTCAAGCTGCAGGTCTGGGAAACCAGAGGTTCAAAGTCAAATACCTGTAGTACCTGCTCTAACTGCCAGGCTGAAGAGCAGGTGGCATAATATATCTCAGCAGCTGGGTGCACAGTAATGCCTCTGTGACACACAATATTTGTACAATTGACGACATGCATTTATGTTGTGGACCATGTGCATACTTATTCATATTCTCATAGCTCTGCCCCTTTCAGATGATTACATTTGCAGGGAAGTCAGCTTTTCGTAGCTGCTGTTTGAGCTACACAAGACTGTGTCATGCAGCTGCTCTGAAGCATCATCATCTGCAGAAAATGTATTGTATATCTGCTTTAACTCAGTCACCTGTGAGAAATCATCATGATGTTGTTGAGATAAGGAGATGTATTTCCTTGTCTGCCAACAATTATGCAAAAGGAAAGGATAAGAAAAAAGACAAAGGTACATATTATTTTATACTAAATTACTTAGAATTATATGACAATTTATTTGGCAATATTGCCCTGTCTTGTTATGCATTTGTGGTGACCCTGGTGATGCTGCCTGTTTGCTTGTAAGCTACAAGCTCATTATTATCAGCATTAGATGACTGTTACCATATTTACATTGATTTTTTGGAAGCTGCTAAAAGGTTATGATTGTAGCATGTTACATGTATGGAAGTGTTTTTAAACATGCATGCAATAGTTATTCATGTAAGAGTATGTACACAAACATAACAACATTCAGGATGCCTAATAAAATATTGCTACACCACAGGTTAGAGACATTGATCACACATGCATTTTCTGTGTGCCAAGCAAATGGGTCATTACTTATGCCCTGGGCTGATATCTGCTTCTACCTTACATTAGAATTTGAGCATGTTAGGTTGGAGCATGTATCCTCCATCCCAATGGTATTTTGTGTCTTTTTCATCACTTTGTATTGCCAGGAAAAACGTCCATAAGGGTGGATGAAAACGAGATGTCGGAGCTGATGGACGTAGACGCGTTCAGGAGTCGCCTGGAGTCCGTGGTGGAGCGGCTCAGGGACAACTTTGTCAAACAGCTGTCCGTCCGCACATCGATCGGTACGGAGTCACGAACCATGTCCGAAGAGATGCTGTGAGTGCCGGAAGAGGCTGCTTTAATCATTGGTCAGTGTCCCTCTCGTGGTAAGGGGTTGACGTTTTCTGCGGCGTCCATGCGGGTAGGCACGCGGTCTTTTTGTGTCTTTCGTTTTGTTTTGCGTCTGTGTTTTGCGACGGGAGTGACGCCTTGCAGTCCCTGTGCGTGTGACCTGGACAGAATGACGTCCAGTGACGTCAGCTCAGTGACTAGACGTTATCGTCTAGAACGCACATCGATTTTTCTCCCTGAGCAGTCTCATAGCACTCGCACGAAAGTCACTGATGGTGTGACCGCTGCCACTTCTCGTGCTCTGGCGCATTATCCCCGCTTCGCCCCCCCCCCCCCACCCCACACGTTGGAGAAACTTCTGCCCTTTTCTCTAGACCGTTTAAAAGCGGACTGCAGGGTGCTGTTGACGTTTGTCCGAGGCCTCGTCCTCGTCTTTTCGGCCCCAGGCCCATGACCGCAGCTGCCGTCCGCTGCAGGCAGCATCGAGCTGCTGCCGGTGTCCTTCGAGGGCGATCAGTACCCGCTGAACGAGCTGGCCCAGGTCGTCCGCAAGTCGGCCACCCTGGTGGTCATTAACAGCTCCGCGTTCCCCGAGGCGGTCGGCGAGATCGTGCGCGCCCTGCATGCGGCCGGCATGGGCCTCAACCCGCAGCAGGAGGGCACCACCGTCTACGTCCAGATCCCCAAGTAGGCGCCAGGCGGGCCGAGCGGCAGTCCGAGAGAGGACTGGTGCTCGTTGTGAGGACGGTTGGGCGCGTGTCCGGATGATCATTCTCGTGGCTGGCTGGGCGTCTGCTTCGCTAGGTGTTATCAGATTCGGAGTTTTTGCTACTGACGTCTTCGCGTTTCGCTACATCCAGCAGCGGCCGACCCGTCTAGATGTCAGTCATGTGAAGTCAGTGCTGTAGGATATGTTTCGACCACTATAATGACTGAATTTACTGACTGTGCCTCTTTTTCCCTCTGTGCTAGCGTAGCACGTGTCAGACTTTTTATTGGATGGCCTCCTGGTGCTGATACCGTTTTTGTGCTTCCAGGGTAACACGAGAACATCGTGAAAGCTTGGCAAAAGGAGCGAAGGCAGCCTTCAACACCGCCAAGGATAAGTTGAAAGATGTGCAGAACGGCCAGCTAAGAGCCCTCAAGAAAAACGATAGCGTCTCTGAGGATCTCTTACGCAACGTGCAGTCACATGTAAGAACCAATGACATAGACAGTCTTGCTAGCTCTCACTAAAAGATCCCTGTCGTAAATAAAGCGTGGCGAATGCTACCGATCTCCAGTATGGCATCCTCTGTATCGGTGTGTTGTGTCGCAAGCTGCTGGCCTATGATCATCTGGTTTTTATTTTTGCCGACGTGATATTTTTTTTTCAACACTTACTTTCTTTTTTGCGTCGCACCATTTATGTGTTCAGTGATCCAACCATTGGCCGCTGACGCCCCACCGATGTGTGACGTCACAACCCAGCGTTGCGCACCTGTGTGACGTCACAACCCCTGTTGGCAGGTGATGGCCGGACGGAGCGGCTGTCCGCTGACGTGTGACGTCACTGCTGCCGTTCACAGGTGACGACGATGACCCACCAGTATGTGCGTCTGCAGAGACGATGCTCAAGGCCAAGACGGCCGAACTGCTGGGCGACAAGTGAGCTGGCCAGGGCCGACCTGACGGACGGGCGGCCGGCCGTGTCCGGACGGCAACGCTGCCGTAAACAGTGCCCGGTTCTTGCAAGCGACAGGTGTCGTTTGATTGTTTTTATATGAGCTTTTGAGCGGGATGGTGCCGTTCACATGCTGTTGCTCCAGTTCCTCACACAGTCTGCCAGTTCTGTGGAGGGGCAGGGAACTTCCAGAGTCTCTGAGAGTGAAGTCACTGGCTAAAAATGTGGAGCCACTGTTGAACCGCCTCTCCTGGTCAACACATAACGGTGCCGAGTCATCTCTGACAGCGGCTCGTGACTCCATCCAGCACTCGGCTGCGCGTCCACGCGCCAGCTGTGTGGCTCATGTGCAGGATCGTGGCAACTGGGGCCGGGGTTCGTCACATGTCACACGTTTTCCCGTACATTTTATTCAGCCATGTTGAACGTTCCCGGTAAGGAGAAGACAAGATTGACGCTACTTGTAAGCTACGGTCACACCTCCATACCATGCACGACACAAAGTTCCGCGAACCCACTGCGTCCGACCCGACGAGACTATAGGATCCTGTCGTCTAGCTTGCAACTAGCCGATCAGCGTTACCAGGAAGTCCCCAGAACCCACCAATGCCAGTCACTCAAAAGGGGCCTCGCATAGGAGACCAGAGAAGGGTGAGACGGCGTCAGGGCGCGCGAATGTGGCCATTCTGAGGCACGTTCAGGGTGGACAGCAGACACCGGCGGCCACATCGGCGGCGCTCCGCTGGCGGCGCCCGGGCCGCTCCGCGCCGTCCGGTCACTGCGAGGGCGGTGATTCCAGTCACCTCGAGCGAGAGACGCCGCTCTGCTTCTCCGGCTGGTACACGCCGCGTAGATTCTGCAGCCGATGCGCGTGATGGCGGCGGTGTCCAAGCGGCGGCGGGTCGTCCCCGCGGCGGCCGCGGTAGTAGAACGCGAACGAATCGAGCGGCAGGCTCACCGTCGTCAGGCTGTCCTGCGGCATCTGTCGGCGCACGGAGACGGCGCGGTCGGGGTCGGATGAGCTGGTGGGGAGCCGCGCGGGCCGGTGGATGGGAGACCGGTGCCGGCTGAGACCGCACGCTGCAGGCCACTACGGGACACTTGTTCGCAAGGAAGTCATGCCAGAAATGTCACAGCCATACGACAAATCCTGTGCACGATACGACACGTCGGAGAGGTAACGTCGCAATGTCGTCCGATGGTGGCAACTCGAAAACGACCTGCAAAATAGAACATTACTGCATGACCGAGCTACAAAGCACGTAGGGCTTCTAGCCGGCCGTTCCTCGCCAGATGCACTTGAGCCAAGGTGACATGCAGCTGATCGTGTGGTGCCTCACCCTCGAAGAAGGACTCGTAAGAGCCGCCCCTGGTCTAACTGGTCGTGGTGCTTGAGGTACACCTTGTAGCGGTAGTTTTGGCCTTGGGCCCGCGCCCGCACGTTGATCTGTTTGAACTGCGACAGGTCCCACGTGCCGTTTGGCGTAGAGCCGACGAAGCCGGCGCCGTTGGGCTGCGGGTTCAGCAGGGAGAAGAGCACGGCCCGCTGGAAACGCGCCGTCTTCTGCGGAGCGGGGCGCAGGAGAGACGTCAGGTTGGCACGAGCGCCAAGACTATGGAAGCACGACCCCTGACCGCAGATAGCACCGATGGAGTACATCGGTGGGAGAGCCGAGGGACTGGACATACTGCGACGAGTTATAGACAGGAGACGCTCGAGCCGGGAGACAATCACCGCAGACCGAAGTCATTCCATTTGATCGTTGGCCATCCGTAAACTTGTGCAGAGTCGTTTATCTGTGCCGGCTCAGCATTTCATGAAGAACCAAAAACCAGGTAACCAGGCCATTTTCCTGGCTCTGAGGCCTCATCCGGCTTACTTCCCTACACCAGGTGACACTTTTCACTCTTCGAGCGTCAGACCGAAGTTGGGGCGTCACCCGCGCCCCTGCCCCCCCCCCCCCCCCCCCGTAGCCCCACTCGCCTGCAGGTGGAAGGCGCCGGTAGGACATGCCGACCTCCCTCGTCCGTGCCGTCTGAGCTCTCCGTCAGTCGCTAAGGTCGGCCACCGTGGTGAAGTTCCAGAGGACTCGCTCAGTGGCGGGCGGGGCGGGCGCCGCCTGCCACCCTGGCTCGCGTGTGGGCAGGAGGTGCGGGATCAGGCGTCAGAGGCGTGTCAACGTCCCCAGAAGTGCGAGGACGAAGCCCTTTCCGGCAATCATTCTTTGGATGCATTGTCGCATCGTGTGAAGCAAAGGCTTCATGGCGGACACAGGCCATGTCCGACCCCTTCCCTCTCTGCTTTCTCACGCATGGATTCAGAAAACGCACTTTGGAGTGGCCACTTTTTCACACGTCGCTGTCACCACAGTGACGGTTGACATTGTGCCACCATAGCACAATCGAAATTGAACGCCAGCCGATCCCGCAGCTCCCCCTCCCCTTCGCATGAGGACACCCGCACGCCCCGCCCTCCGCCGACGAGCTGTGGTCACCTGAGCGTGGCCGGTATGGACGTGCAGCAGCGGGTACATCACGTAAGCGGGTCCCGACTGCGAGGCGGCGGCTCCGGCCACCACGCCAGCGGTGGCGGCCCAGTACCCAGGCGGCCCTCCTCATGGCGACGGTGATCACCACTGCCGAGCGGTGGGACACGGTCAGCCCTCCCGCCGAGTCCAGCACCTCAAGTGCGCAGCTCTGCTGCTGAAACAACACCACGGGGAAGGGGAGACGCAAGCCCTCACACTGAGGCCGGGCTCACTGCGGGAAGGGGCAGACGCACACCCCCGCACTGAGGCCGGGCTCACTACGGGCAGGGGGCAGGCGCACACCCCTCGCATGAGGACGGGCCCGCTGCGGGTAGGGGGCAGACGCACACCCTCACACTGAGGTCGGGCTCGCTGCGGGAAGGGGCAGACGCACACCCTCACACTGAGGTCGGGCTCACTGCGGGGACGGGGCAGACGCACACCCTCACACTGAGGCCGACTACCAGCCCTATACCTCACGTGAGCAGCCGTGCGCCGTAAGACCGGTGCGAGCACGGCAATAAGGCATCACCGTCTATGATACGTCCTGTGTGCTAAGCAGCCCAAGGTCTCTCGCCCGATGCACCGTTGCAGGCTTCCAGCTGGCGTTAGCCGCGGCAGCGATGGCTGGCACCAAGCCGGACAGCACTTATGGACCTCACACAATAAACATAGACCATCGGCACCGACGAACACGTGCTTTAAGCTCGCGTTTGGAAACAACGCTGTCGCGCCGACAGCGTTGTCGGCGTCATATTTCAAGACGGCTGGAGTGATCAGGTCCCTGGCTTCTCTGGCGGCACCACTCCCGTGTGCCTTGCCACTTTCATTAACACCACCACGACAAATGGCTGCACACAGCTGACTCCACCATGGAGTTCATGACACTCGTTCTGAACCCGGCGGCTGAGCTCACTCACTCGAAGCGATACTCACTGGTCGCAGAGAAAGCCGTCTGTCAGAGCGACGTGCAGCAAGCAAGTGCAGGCCGGAATGGGTCCACTTTATCGCAGGGCACCGAACGATAGCGCGTTACATAACAGGGAGGCGGCCGGAGCCAGCTGTCCCGCGGCTGGTTGCCGCTGCTTGGGAGCACGTCCGTTCCTCACGTACACACCAGCCGGTTGCTGCGTGGAACTGTGCCGGCGCGACCCGTCCAGTGGCCGCTCTCGGTCCACTCGGGCGCCCGGAGCGGCGCGCGTGCTCCCGCCAAGACGCCGACCGGACCGGCGGCCATCAACTAACCCCCGACCAGTCGGAAACACGGCAGGATGGACAGCGATGACCCGGCCCCGCGCGGTAGTCGCCATGACAACCGTTGACTGCAGTGAACCATGGTGACGGGACAGGAACAATTCTCCGCAATTCCCTTGTTGTGTTCAAGCGTATCTCGTTCGCAGCGATATTTCGTCCATAATCGAGATGACCAAAGACGCCCGTTGTTCCATGTCCACAACCTTACATCGAGTTTTTGCTTAAGAGAGTCTTGAAACCTCTGCTTGGACATAACACATGGCGAATGATTTCTACTGGGTGTCTAGTTATGCATGCTACATTTACAAATGTAGTTTATTTACGCCTTGAATGCACGCTTGATGACCATGAGCGAGTCCGCCCGATAACCATATATCACCAAAATGGCAGATTATATCCACCATTGTCACCACATAGCGTTAATTCAAGTCGGTCGTCGTGCCCTCTTCCGCAAATATGAGTACGCGGCAGCACCATATCATAGTTGTCTTTAAACCGTCAGTTTATATATTCTGCCATATCAAAAGTGCTGCCACCTATACAAATATATATAGAATCGTGTTGCCATCTAGGCAAATTGGATACACGTACGCCCGCTGAGACCATGACGCAACCTACAGGGACGGCACAGGGAGCGATACGAGTCGTTGAAAATTCGCAGCTGAATTCAATGTGACGACTTTCAGATCGATAGAGCGATGCGAATCTTACCAGGCCACAGAAAAGGTACGGAGACCAGCAGTGCCGTCGGCGGTTACCGAACCATGCAATTCAGTCTCGCACACAACACCAGACACTCCCACGACGCCGGAAGCACCAAACAAATGGCAGTGCGTGACGTAAACACAGGCTGCCAGCTGACGACGGTGACGTCACCCGCTCTCAGCCGCTTCTGCTGCCGCCCGCGCCGGCTGCCACAGCAGAAAACCGCCGGCGCGGGTCGGTCGGAGCGGCGCGCCTTAGCCCACTTTTTCCCGGCGGTGCGGCTGTGTTGAGTCGCAGTGCGGCGTGGACTGGTCGGGCGGGTCCGGCGAGAGATCGCAGCACGCCGCCTCGCCGGCCGCGGCGCGCCAGTGCAGCACCAGCGCCGGGTCGGTGGTGTGAGGGGTGGTGCGGGTGAAGCGGTGAGCGCTGCGGGCTGCCCCTCCGCGGCACGAGTCGATCGTCTCAAGTTCGGTCCGTGTTATCACGGCTACGTGTCACGAGGACGTCAGGAGGTGGATTCCGGTAAGGTAAGGCGGGTTTGAACAGCTTTCCCCATCACACTTCGGTCGGGTGGTGACAGGTGCTCTGAATGGAGCCAGATCGCCGGTGATGACTTGTCAACGCGGTTCATTGTTCGGACAGAAATGATGTGCGAGATTCCTAAGCTGTCTTTCAGTGCACCAGTTTCTGGCGCCGAAACCAGGAAGAACCCCGTTTGAAATCGAACCAAAGATCCATCAAAAACCAGGATCAAGCTTGACATTAAGCTGAGGAATCTGGCATGAACCGAGATCTGGCTTGAAATTGTGCTGAGAAGTCTGCAGCCAGGACCAAGATCCGCATGGAATGGGGGTCCAGCGGGTTCTTCTAGATCCAGAGATCCAGAAAGAGCCCAGATCCAGCCTGGAGTTCTGGCAGGGATCCAACGAGAATCGAGATCCATCAAAAAGTCAAGGAAATCAGAGAGAACAAACATTTTCCTATCAGGAAACCAGCGTATGCTCAGACAGCCCGCTGGAAGTACGTATATTGCACAAGTAAATATTGCGCAACATGTGCGAGACATTCTTGATTTCGGGGCATATTTTAATGGTAGATAACTACCCAGTGGTAACCTGAGCTGGTGTTTACGAAGAAGTGAATGAGGAGCGGGAACTGGGATGACGTTTCACGAGTAACCATTGGAGAACAGTAACCATAGTTTGGTATTTGCGAGTGACCAATGTAAACCAAGAACCAGGCCTTGGTCTTTGCCAGTGAACCAGTGGGAATAAGCAACCAGCTCGGTCCGGGTGTTTGTGAAAGAATCTATGGGAACCGGAAACGTATGTGTTTGCGAAGGAACCATCAAAAGCCAGGAACCAGGGTGCGGTGTTTCAAGAACAACCATTAGGATCCAGGGACCAGGAGCTGGTGCTTGCGAAAGATACACCGGAATCATAAGACCAGGCTAGGAGGCAGTATCCCTGATCTCCAGAATTTGTTACGGATAAAACTGCCTTTTGGAACTCAAATGATTGCTTATTTTCCGGTTATCAACAAATGGCATCTGACCCGTATCCCTAAGCCTTGTCCCGACGCCCAGTCGATGCCCTTTATTCGCCCTTTACCACGTCTCTTGGTCTGTGTAGTTGATAGTGATCGGCGGTCCCTGCTGTTCCGTCCCGTCGCCAAGTTAGGCGGGGAAGGCCGTGTTTTACACCGCATCAGTGTGTTTAATGTTTTGTTGCTCTGCTGCATATTACTGTAAACCCGGACCCTGGGTCCAAGCCGGACGACCCCGGCATGTCAGCACTAAATCCGGCGCTGACTCGACCGTACCCGTCCGCAGGACAAGCGGGGCTGCCAGTACTGGAAAATGCAAAGCACTTGACTAGGAAACATTCCATTTTTTTATTAACGACAACATGGCATAAGTCTGGTGATTGCTGAGAATGTCCAGAAAGTCGCTCCCACTGTACTTAAACGATACAGAAACAAGGAGGCAATCCTATTAGCCAGCTTCCATAATGCATAGTCTGTGGTCTCGCGGATTTTACTCATTTTTAATTCGCTACTAGAGCGGCTTGCAGCTTGGTAGCTTTGGCCTCCGAGCGCATACTAAGCAGTGCCTGTTGCCCGAGTCCTCTACCCAGTGGCGTAATCCCAGCTGAGCGGACAGCCACAGCCCCAGGCTGACACCTGGCCAGCCTCTAGCTGACCAGGTGTCAGCTGACCACGATATGATGTCGGACTAAACAGGTACCTTTGCCAGCGACTCCATCACCGTGTCACCTGACACAAGTCATCGGTCTTCTGCCCGGGAACCACATAGCCGGCAATCTGCTGATAGAGCGGCTCCTACTGCAAATGTTTATATTTCCCAAATGCCGGCATTGAGGCAACCCACGTTGGCGTTTTTAACTTCCGCAGTGATGGCTCACAAGCAACGCTCAGTTTTACTGACTTACCAATGGTATAGAACGGGAAATCTGTGATTCCCAGTCAGCCTGGTGACGAAGCTGCCGACTTTCTGTCTACACTTGGCGATATGAGCCGTTCCGCATCTGGCAACCCTGAGCCCGAGTCTGATCAGCCGCCACGTGTGAGGCCAAGGCTGATGGGTGGCAACAACAACCAGCGTCTCTGCCAGCTGTTCTGTTTGTGACGTAATCGGGACTCGGACTCGATACTAAGTAGATGCAATGTTCGGGCACGGAAGGCATGCCGTTGGTCACTGCTTTGACGTTTGATTGATGCAGTTGAGTAAACCTGATCTCGCGCTCATCTGGGTTGCACCGAATGGCTCAACAC